AAGTCTCTACAGTTGTACACCTCCTTAAAAACCTTCTCTCACCCTGAGGCCTCCAATTTCACCATACATTCTCAGTCTCTGATTTCCCCTAAAGTGTCCTTCATTATCCTTCTCCCCCATGCATCAGTTTTTGACCTTCCCCAATACAAGGCTTTCCTATCTTACCCTCCAAACCCAAGAATTGACTTTTTCCTCACGATGAAACTTCTGATTCATTTTCTGGGCTCAGCAACCCAACTGATTGATAAACCATTCTCCCTTCCTTCCCAATCAAAAACATCCCTCCCCTCCCTGCCTGACTCTCTTCCTCTTCTCCTTCAAATCTCCCACACAAATATGGACCTACCAGCATCAGTAACCTTCTCTAACCAGTCCCCTGACCACCAGGAGTGCAAGCCTGCAGGCTGGATTCAGGAGCAGTTCTAAATTTCAAATTCCCCATTGATCATGGCTTACCTCCTTCCTGCAGTTCAGGTAAGTGAAAATTCAGCCTGATGTCTTGATAAATCCATGATTTCACATACTTGTTTACCACATTTATCACTCTAATGAGCATGTCACTAAATAGCAAGAATTCTTTCCCTTAAAATATAACATCTTACAAAACAGACACTGAAGAAGAGGCACGCACCATGGCCACAAAGTATGGACCACATTTCCTCATAGTTTCCAAAGTTGCCAACTTCTTGAAATCACTAGAATTAATGTTTCTATAATCTCTGTTTGCTACTCAAAACTCTCATTATCTACCGAGATTTCTTACAATATGTGTTTTGGCCCCGAAATTTCAATCATGATCTATTTCTGAGCCTGATCAAACTAAAAGGTGTGCACCTTTTGATCAATTCTGTCCTGGAATTTCCTGGACAGGGATTCTCCTGTTGCAAAACAACAGCAACCAATCCAGGAAACATTAGAGAATCAGTGTATGAAACATGCCCTTTTTTTTCTCAACAGTAATCATGCTGTGTTCTGTTGTTTAAATGCCGAATAACCACTTTACCAGCTACTGTGAAAAAGTAAATATGTAAAGTAAGTAAAAGCAAAATATTGCAGATGGTGAAGATTTAAAATAAAAACAGAAACAGAAAAACAGGCCTGGCAGCAAATGTTGCGAGAGAGAAAGAGTTAACATTTCAAATCCAATTCAACTCTTTTTGTTGTCTGAATAAATCATATTGAACTCGAAATCTCTCTCTCCACAAAAATGCTGTCAGACCTGCTGAGTTTCTCCAGCATTGTTTGCTTTTTATGTAAGTGTCGGCATAGGTGCCAAATGAGTGGTGGAATATAAGATGCCATGTGGGTGACGGAGTAGGGTGCCGGGTGGGTAAGGGAATAATGTGGCATGTGTTTAAATTATTAGAGCGTTAGGTAAGTAGATATGTGCTTAGGTGAGGTCAAAGAGCTAGGGCATTTCCAATTCCAGCAGAGGGTGGGTTGTCTGGTTCATGGAGGTGTGAACTAGTTAGGAGCTCAGTGGTGAGTCAGACATTTCGTTTAATAGTTAGCAGTGAGTCAGAGCATCTTTTTTAATCCTGTAACATTTTCTGAATAACTTGACCGTAAGTACGTTGGAGCCCTCCAAAATCTTTGGCTCTGAAGGATTTTTCAGAGGTTTCTGTACACAGAGTAATTGGCAAGAAGAAATGTTCAAATCACTGAGCAATTCCTACAGATTATGCTGCAATGGAAGTTCCACATGATCCAGGCATGCAACCACAGTGAGTAGAAATGACAATCTTACTATCAGAATTAAATAATTCAGAGAGTTGATATTTTTGAACTTTTGATTTTTAGTTTTAGAAAAATAGAATAAGTGACAACCTCACTGGAAAGGCAGGTAAATGACATTGTTTTGTTGAATGAAATCAAGAAGTTATCATAAGCAATATTTAGAAGCTGAAAATCTGTGCATTGCTATAGGAAGGATATTAGTAAATTGGGGAGGGTTTAGAAAAGATTTACTAGGATGTTGCCAGGACTAGAGGGTTTTGAGTTATAAGGATAGGCTGGATAGGTGGGGATATTTTTCACTGGAGCACAAGAGTTGAGAGGTGACCTTACAGAGGCTTATAAAATCATGAGGGGCATAGGTGAATTGCAAAGGTCTTTCCCCTCAGGTGGCTAAGTTCAAAACTAGGAGGCATATTTTTAAAGTGAGAGGAGAAAGATTTGAAAGGGACCTGAGGAGCAACTTTTCCACACAGAGGGTGATTCATGTGTGGAATGAACTGCCAGAGGAAGTGGTAGATACAGGTACAGTTATGACATTTAAAAAACATTTGAATAGGCACATGAATAGGAAAGGTTTAGAGATATGTGAGACAAACGCAGGCAAGTGGAACTAATTTAGTTTGGGAAACTTGGTTGCATAGACAAGTTGGACCAAAGGATCTGTTTCTGTGCTGAAGGGTCTACTTCCATCAGAAAAACAGCACACATTCTAATAGGAGATAGTAGGAACTGCCGATGCTGGAGAATCTGAGATAACAAGGTG